GCAAGCTGTGTAATCTGGAAACAATGTTCATACAACATATAACCGAAGAATGCCACAAAATAAAACAAGTACAAGAACAGCTGAACTTACCCCGAATGCCAGAACTACTTAAAATAATTACTAAACAAAATGTATATAGTTTAATGAATATCTTAAGACTTAGTAACATTCTGTACGATGTTTGAAATATACGTAGTTAAATCATCTAACATACCACCGGTCGATGGCGCTTTCTGTGCTAGCACCTTAGTATTAAGTTTATTTTGTAATTTACTTACTAAATAAACTGACAATAATAATAATAATAATAATAAACATGTCATACCTCAGTAAGCTTAAATCGGATCCTGTGTCAACCATGGCGTTGACTATAACACCGTCTATCTGGATACGTTTAAAAATAAACCACTGGTCTGTCTCCAAGGTGAATTAAACATAGCATTAACTACACTTTTCTCTTTTTTTATTTGCTTGCCTGCACCTATCTTGCACTCAAAACTTCTGTGCCCTATCTCTCCACATTTAAAACACTTACATATATTGCTTGTTAGTACCATGACAATCTTTTGCGAGTTGTGTCGTTGATGAGCATTTATAGCGTTTCTTCTTGTCGTCACCACTTTGAAAATTTAAACCCTTTGAAGTAGCCTGTGCAGACTGCGACCTGTTTAGCGAGTGTCGCGAACAATGCACCTTTTCGTAAACCTGCAAATTCACTTTTAATTATTTTATTGTTTGTGTCTGGTATAAAATGGTTTTTTTTCAATCTGGAATCTGGAATCCCCTCGACAAAATACCCTATCAAACTAACCTCGTCCATTTTAACTGGCTTCGCAATTTCCATAAGCGTGTACAAATATTACTTAAATGACTCATTGCTCTTTTTACGCCTATTTTGCAACATGCGATGAATATGTAAAGAAGATATTTTAGTACTAAACTCGTCTATTAAAGTGGCTTTCAAGGTATCTCAGTCCCTAACAATGGCTTGGCTGCGCAAAAACAACTTGGCTGCCCCTTTCATAAGTTGCTTGGCATAAATATATTTTTGAAGTTTGTTCCATCCTAATGTGATAGCGTTGTCCTCAAACTCTCTTACCCATTCATGAATGTCTAGTGTATCTGTCCCACTGAACGAGGGTAAGCTGTCTTGCATGTCTTTTAAAGTAAAGCTAAAGTTTACTGTCTATTGTGACGGATTGGCTTCCTCATACGCCGATTCATCTTCGATGCCTCATCACTTTAATAAGTTCTTGATGTCGGAGAAGTCTGTCCCTCAGTTTGCTTTTCCGTCCTTGTTGACTTAGCCCCATACGTCTCAAATTGTCCTTTAATGTCTCGACTGTCATACGTAAAATTGTCTGAGCGTCCATGGTATAATGGTTACAATGTTTATAAATGGTAAGTAAAGTAAGAGTACAGTTTACAATACAAAACTAAATAAAATTTTAGTACATAAAAGTAAGATAAAGTTACTTATAGTTGTATATGCAATACGTTAAGCTACACTTACATATATTAAGTTAAATTTAATTTACCCCAGGTAATATTTGAAATGATATGTAAAATAATGTAAATAATTATGTAATTATATCAAAGTTTATGCTATCGTTTTATAAATAGAAACTCAACTCTTTACTCTTTACAACATCTGTTTTTACTGTTCTTATACATATGTACCTGTTACATTCTACTTTTCTATCTTTTACTTATGCATGTGTTGTTATCTCTGCTTCTTCAACTTTAGATTTCAATCGCTTTCTGTTGATGCTATCACTGCTCTGCTCTATAACCTTTTCTTCGTTGGTTTCACTTTCTCCTCTGCTTGTTTTCGTTAATACTCTTTCTCTCAGTATGTTGCTTGATGGCGTATACTTACGATGACCATATTTTCAAAATGAAAATACAGTACACCTTTTTAAACCCTCATTTTATAAAAAACAAAAAACAGATACATAAGTTTATGTTCATTTATTTTGAGAAATACATGTACATATGTTTTTTTCATTYACATTATACATAAATAAAAAACATAAAAAAGTCTTCAAACATAACAAAAGTCTTCGTGACTAGATAGTAAATAATAATTTACACAGTTTATACATACTTTTCAGCGGAATGTATTTTTTTAATCAAATCAAAATTATTTTTTAAATACTCTTTGAATTCTAGGCAGCTTAACCCGTAGATGACTTTGGTAATTAAAATCGATTTTATTGTTTCGGTTTTAATTTTGGTTTTTTCACTTGTCCACATATTGTTAAGAATTGAAAACAGCCTTTCCGTAGAGGCATTAGACTCGGGCAAGCACAAAAAAACTGAACAACTTTTATAATATTAGAAAAAGAAATTTTATTTTCTTCAAAATGTTGGAAATTTTCCAACCACCTGTTTTGAACATAGGTTTCATTTTCGTTCCGTTCATTAAACTTGCTAGGTGTTGCATAACTTTTAACGCAAGAAAATTCATCAAATAATTTGTTATCTTTTATATTGATACCATTTCTTTTTTCTAAAATATATGAAAAACTGGCCACCACTTCATTCCATGACGGTACTCTCTGAAGTAGTATCCATTTTAAAACCTGAACTTCTATGAATGCACTGTCCCACAGGCTTAGGTAGTCAGCACAATTGATATAAAAGCTTTTGTGCATGTTTGGAATTTATTTACATCAATTAAACCTTTCAGTTGTAAGACTGTAATAGAGATTTTAACTTCTAATGGTACAAAGTTTTCTTCTTTACGTGCAATAACTTTGTTTTTTAGTTCATTTATGAGGAAGGCTCTTTCTATCATTGACATTGTTTGCGATTCAATTTTTAAAATATAGCTGTGAAAGAGACATGCTCGCAAAGATTAAAAAAAAAATTGTTTTAAGACAGTTGGACACTTTGGTTGTAACAAAAAATATTTTTTGAGAGGATCGAAAAGATTCAGAATCCTCTCTATTGATGGCTTCAAAGTGAGCCACCTAGTTTTACTAAATCCCATTAGTTTACAATATTCGAGGTTTAAGTTTTCACAAATATCTTTAAATTCTGCCACGCGGACTGTGTAAATATAAAAGAAAGAGTAGATCTTTACAACAGTGACTTCGATGTCAATTGGAAGACAGAACATTCCCCAGAACATTGTATGCAATTATTTAAAATGTGGGCAGCACAATTAATTCCAATTAATGTTTTACCAGTGGCCTATTGAAGTTTTGTGAAAAGGTTGTTTTTACCCCGCCTGGATGCACCACCAATATTTGCGTTCGTATTGTCTGCACATAAAGCTAGCAATTTTCTTTCCAATTTAAATTTGTTTAACAGCTTTAGAATATATTCACTCAATATGTCAGACGTTTCGCCAGGAATCTCATCAACTTCCAGAATTTTTACTTGAATTCCCTTGTATTGAGTGAAGTACCGAACAAGAATTGAACATATTTTTGTACTTCCATGGTTTCAGCAGTCAGAATATATTGAAATGAAATGTACCCCTTCTAAATCCTTCTCCAATTCCTTAAAGCACATTGCAAATAATGCCTTCGCACTTGGTGCTTGCGCATGAATATTTTTCATCAAAACAGCTTTTGATAAGTTTATTTGTGCAATCATTTGAGAATAGTTGTGTTGAATCGTATGGTACGCCCATGTTTCTTCTGTGATGTATGTCAGTTTTCGGCAATCATCAAGCGATTTAGATAAGTAAAATGCAGAAATGGTTTTACTACTGGCTGCACAAATATCACCACGTGTTTATTGCATATTGTCTTTAAATGTTGCAGGATATCCAGTTTGCCGTTATTTGCAATGGAAAAAACTGCCATGCATTTAACGCATTTTACTTCACTGGCTCTTGTTAAATTCTTTTCGAAGTTCTGTATTAAAAACACACTTTCTCCTGGGCGCCATTAAGCTAATAAACAATTACATAAATTTGATAAGTGCACAGTTACAAAGGCATTTTTATTTCAATAAATTTACCTGAAATGGAAGTCCAGCTACATAAAAATTGTGCAGATTGCATGTGCTTGAAGCCAGCTTTAAATTAAGCATTGATAATTTCTTTTTAGTTGTGGGATTTCCATGATAAGTTTTCAATAAACAGCTGCTTTTGTTTACGTTTAGCATGCATCGCATTGCCAACCATAGTCACCACTCCAACGTTGTGCATTCTAATTTTGGCCTTCCCATAATTTCGAAATAATGAATATATTTTACAAGCGAGATGAGAAAACGAAAATACTTAAATGCACTATAAAGTTAGGAGCAATTTATCCGACAAGTTAGTACAGGCAACTTACTTGCTTAGAAAACGACCTTAAGAGTGTTAGCAGGTTTAAATGCGCAAGAAAATTTACAAACTACAGTACAAAAACAGTAAATTTTTCAAAAAAGAGTACTTTTTCGCATTTTATCGTACAAAATAATTTACACAGAGCAAAGCTTCCAAAAACAGCACTGTTCTGTATAATACAGTACGTATGGTCACCGTACGTATACTGCGCAGTTAATTTGCTTGACACTGTCTGTTCGCTGATTTTACAATATTATCATCACTCATCCATCACTCATCCTCACAGTATATCGCTGTTCGGCTTACACTGCATCTATTTCGTTTTCAAACCCATATTCGTATTCACTGTCGCTTTTTGTAGTGTATTGCTATGCGGCATACACTACTTGTTTCAAATATTTAAATCTTCATTTCATTTAAGCTGTTCTGCTCATTATTTCTCTTTTTGTCTCTCACTTTGCTAGATTTAGCTTTTCAAACGTCTTTCACCAACGCTTCGCTTATTGTTCGGTTTTTCGCTGTTCGGTTTTTTTTTTATTTTGAACTTCGTGTTTAACCGTCACTTTACGAAATTGTTGGATTCTCTGGAATGTTCTGCATACAACAACGTTTGATGACGTAGATTGCATGTACAAATCCACCAAATGTATCCACTTTTAACGCTTCACACACTATGATTTACACATGCACTATAYTTTTCATGTAATTTTCAGGAACTATTACAGATCCTTTCGGTTGCTTTCATTCCTAATTTTTCAGTCTCAAGGCCCCTTTTATGCTATGCTTTAGTTTTTTTTTTTAACATTTAGCCGTTTTTAATAGATACTAAATTTATAAATTTTTCTCACACACGACACTTATTTCGATTTTTCTCAACGGACACCACGAAATATTTAGGATTTTATTTATTTATACAAAGCTTACATAATAATTAATTATTATCTAAACTAAAGCAAACGCAGCGCTAGCAGCAGAGGGTGCATTTTTAGGATTATTTTACTTTTTCCGTCTAAATTTAACTGAACACTATGGCTCAATGACTCAATCCTGGGTGAGCGCCAAAATGAAGGTTCCGGACAATTAGAAGTGTCTTTATTGGAAGTTGACTAGCAACTGTCCGTTTGTCTTCGGTCGAGTCAGCGTCGCGTCCTAGTTTCGTCAAGTTTTAGTTGTGTGCGTTAAGTATGTAGGGCTGCATTTTAGCGTAATTATAATGTTTTTAATATGTCACTCCTACATATATATATATGTATATTTAAGATATATTTTCTTTTCCTTATTATGTATTTAAGGCATGCGTTTTACGTACCCCAAGTGACTAGCTGTGAGTTCCACACGAATAAGCATAACAGATTCTGATGAGTATTTCCTTACGATTACTCCTTTTCCCCAAAAACCACCGAATTCATGTGGTCTTGGCTTAGGTAAATCCCATGCGTCCCCGCACTCACCGCATTTGCCCTTGTTTTGCTTCCATTGACGTGTAAATCCCCCGCAATATAATTCGTGGTCATTGTAATTAGGTGGCGTCTGAAATCCGTATCGCCATGCTGACGCCCTACTAGGCGGTTCAATCAATCGTCCGTGCCCACAACACTGAGGTAAATTAGCAGTATGGTAAATAAACCAATAGAAGGCAATGCTAATAACAGAACACATTATTTAGTTGCGAGGTACTATTATCCTTTTAATTCCTAAAAGTAAGTAGATGTATGCGCAATATAAATTATTTAAACAAATACTCTAACGGAAAAGGAAATAAATAGTTAATTTATTTAACAAAAACCTATTATTCATTAAGGCTGTTGTTAGACTATTAAAAACTTTCTCATGAATGAGAAATTTGAATTTTTCAAGCTGAAGATCTGATATTATTTTGACAACTTATAAATCTGAATATAATTCCAGGGTTTGTCCGGAAAGTAATAGAACTGCTTTTCCAATACTTTTTTGGAAGGCTAGGAAGAGGTCGCTGATACAGACCGTGCTGCGAGACCTGTGCCTTCGACAAAAATAGATAATGTGACTAATATGCGCAAAGTTTTAAACTCAGACCGTCGACTAGGTATTCTTTTAATTGCTCTAATGTTAAATTTATCAAAATCTGTGATTTATGACTTTGTGACGGAGCACTTGAACATGAGCAAGGTGTGTGTGAAGATGGTCCCAAAAGTGCTCACTCACGACCAAAAATTGCGGCGAGTGGGAGTGTGCCAAGAAAATTTGAACATATGTGAAAGTGGCCCTCAGTTTTTGAATAACGTAATCACAGATGACAATGTGGCCCCAAGACTTTTTTGTTTCCTTGCCTGAAAATGCAGATGAAAGGCAAGCATTTTGAGACGACAGAGGGGATCCAAGCAAGTTCAATGCTTGGAAATCGCGCTGGTAGCGCTGCATCGATGCAGAAGGAGCCTATTTTAAAAGTTTTTAAAGAATTGTAACGATTGATTCAATATTTTTTTTTTTAAATCGACTCAATCCTACTCATACCATTAGTTCTGTTACAAGTTCAAAGCGTTTTAAAAATTAAACTATAATTTCAATCACGCAAGGACGACCACTTCTCTTTCTGTCATCAGCAAAGGCAGATTCTATATATTAGTAGATAATACACAAATCATAATAGAAACAAGCAAGAAAGTCTAAGCTCGGGTGTAACCAAACACTTCATACCCTTGCCATTTGTAAGTATAAAAGTCATGGAAAAACCTTAAAGTGCAAAACGGCAACCAGAGGTTCGAATCAAAGTAATTTTCCATTTGTGGTAATATATAACTCATACACTGACCGCCATATTTGGCATTTTGGTATGTTAGAGTCACGAAAATAATTAAATCTTGGACTACCTTGGGTGATTCGTAATCCAATTTCTCATATTTTTGTCATTAAACTATATCATATCCAATATTACATGTTTAGTGAATTTTGATTACAGTTTTTAAGATCTTATTAGATTAAAGGAGATAGTATTGACCTGATTTTACCTATTTTTTTTTATCAATAAAGTAATTAAAAGACCACAGACTAATAAAATGCTCTCAAAGTTTCATCAAAGTTCCTCATGTACAATCACCAATCATATGAGGTAAAGTCAGCCAGATGTTTAATAATTGTAATATTAGTTACATGGGGGCTAGGTCAAGTTTTCACCCAATTTTAATACACTGTTATCAGTAAAACACGCGCTTTCATTTCATTGCAATGACTCATATTTCTGCTGATATAAAGTCACCCGGAAGTTCGAAAGCCTTTATATTTGATACATGGAGCTAAGGGTAGTATTGACGATTCAATTCATTTTTAACACACAGACATACTACTATCAAGAAACGATTTTCTCCAAATTCTATATCTCATACATTGACCGATAATTTCGTTAAAACGTCAACTATACCCTCTGGAGTCCATATATTCGGCACCTAGGGGCTTGAAAAGTTTTGGTTCGATTTGTACTCCCATTTCGCGCAAATCACACCATTACATAGGAATGTCGAAATAATAGAGGTTATCTTCGGATTTCATTCATTTTCACACTATCAGTAGAAGTTCTCATAGGGTTAATGTTGAGCGATTTTGTTATTTTGGTTAGAACGGTTTAAGAGATATGTATGTATGTATAGTATATTAAACAAATTAGGGGTGGAGTCACTCACACTTTTTCCAAACTAAATTTGAACAAGTAAATGTTATAATTCCCAGAATAGGTCATATTTCAAGCAAAAAACAGAACTAAATAGTTTACTAACGAAATACCCAAGCTTATTTTCCGAACGTAATGAAAAACTGACCTACACCACAAACGTTGAAGCAGAACTTCGTACAAGTACTAACACTCATGTTTATTCAAAATGTTATCAATACTCAATGTCCTTATAAGAAAAGGTAAATAAACAAATAAAAGAACTACTAGACAATAATATTATACGACCATTCCGGTCACCGTACAATTCTCCTTTGTGGGTCGTACCAAAGAAATTGGATGCTTCAATTATAAAAAAATATAGAATTCTTTTAAAAAAAAGTGATATTGAGAAAACAGTATTCTCGATAAATAACAGAAAGTATGAATTTACAAGACTCCTATTTGGACTGAAAAATGCTCAATCTATATTTCAACGCACTCTTGATGATATTCTCAGAGAACATATAGGTAAAATTTGCTAAGGCTAGAACAAGGGCATAGAGACAAATCCCAGCAAGGTAAAAGCCATAGCTAATTGTCCACGCCCCAAGACACTTAGGAATTAAGATCCTTCTTGGGATATCAGGATATTATAGAGATTCATTAGGGGTATGCAACAATTGCCAACTGCACGTAAAGAAATGTTAGCCATAATATGGTCTGTAAAGTCTTTTAATGGTTACCTATGTATATGACGGATCTAAAGTAAAGATTTATACAGACCACGAACCCCGTACGCATGATTGCAACTGGAAAGTCAGTATAGCGGTTAGAAGATGGAAATCTTACCTGGACGAATATGACAGAGAATTACTTTACAAACCCGTCAAATAAAACATAGTAGCTGACGCGCTATCTCAAATCAGCGACTCAACATAGGGCTCAGAGTTCAGGCCATAATCTTATTCCTAATATTGATACCCCGATTCTTCGTCTTCTTGATTGGCGTAGACACCGCTTACGCGATTATAGCCGAGTTAACAACAACGCGCCAGTCGTTTCTTCTTTTCGCTACGTGGCGCCAATTAGATATTCCAAGTGAAGCCAGGTCC